AGTACATATATAAAACAAAATATGTAAATATGTTTTACTAATGTTATGAAGTATTAGTACAATATATAATATATTAAGATAATTAAAGCTATAATTGAATTTGATGATTCATCTGTCTTCCTTGAAAAGAGGTTTTTTATTGTATAATCTTATTTATTTGTCAAAAACGCAATAGTCTTATTTTTAAATAAAAAAATCATAATCATTTTATCAAATATATTACGTTTTTAAAGGAATATATTGATTCAATGTCTAATTATATTTTCTGAAAATAAGTTTCCGAGTAATGTTAGAATTTAATGTTTTTACCTGTGCCGTGGAACAAACAAGCCCCATTACAATGCTTTTCCTCTATATAATTTATTGAATGATAAGAAGTGATGTGTAATTTGCAATAATATCAATTTCTAAGCACGATCACTTAGATAAAAGAACAAACACTGTGATTCAACACAGCAAATTTTCACAATAACAATGGCGTCTTGACAGACTTTCGTAACCAACTTCACGTTATCAGCTGATATTTTACATCATATCCTGTTCCTTCAAATAAAATATGTATTTGATTTGGCAAATCCTTCTACTATGAATTTGTGATACGTATCATATATGTGTATCTACAATAATATAACAATTATTAAACAATTATATACATGATGATAAGTTAAAATGAGGTCTTAAATTTGTGTCATTGACAAAAACCATAATACAATACAATAGAACATCTAAACTTATATGTTGAACTAATGATATGTATATTATTTTTATTAAATGTAATATTCATCATTAAATACGATAATAAATTATAACGATTATAATTATATTCTTGCTCATACGTGTATAATTAATTCTCTGTATACGACATTTTTAGATTTGTAATCAAATTTAAATCTTTTAAGATTTCTTAATAGAATAATATATAAACCGTATTACATATTTACAAGAATTAAGACAAATTAAAGAAGAATTAGAATAAGATTATTATGCTTTAAAACAACTCCTTTCTATAAATTATTTTCTCTGAAATTCCTATAAAGTGGATCACATAAAGATTATCAGTTAAAAAGATATGTAAAACAATCACAAACATTCTATTTTCTAATAATATAATATTTAAATAATCCAATGTTGATTACAGTATTCGAGAAGTTTTTAACTTGATATATGTTATAAACTTTGAATTTATATTTATTACTATTATTAAAATTAATATTATTTGAATTCATCCTTTAAACTATTATTAGACATCTCTCATGAATTAATTAAATGTCAACATTTTAGAAAAATTGTTCATTTTAGAAAAATTATGTGGTGGCGTTCGTGTTCTCTCCGAGGAGTGTTAAGTTAGCTACTAGCGCAATTCCATTTTACACAACGCGCACATAATACACTGTAAAAATGTGTGTATATACATATATATATGTGTACATGTATATAATCATAGTTATTCACAGTTAGTGACTCACCATGAGAGATGCTAAATTGCAATAATTGATTGGTCTTGAATAATAAGAACGTTTTCACATTTTATTATGCTTATAGTCACAGTTTCATAAAGTTATTAACATTATATTTGCAACTGAAAGCTAATGTAAGCATCTTCTTTAATACAAAATGTATATCAATTTTCTATGCAACTAATACACAATGCTTGTGCACTATTTAAAATCTGCATGGTTTTATTACGTATATTTCTTTAAAATATCAATCTGAAAATACTATTATATACATAACTAAATATGGTTAAAGCGTTTAATGAAAAATGAAATTAACTACTGTACAGTGTCATAAACGCAATATTATAAGTTCTTATATAATTTGTAAAAAATATATTATAATAAATAACTTTTATTTATATAGTTTAAAATATCTCATTCATGAAAAGGTGATGATTAATTTTTTTGGAAACTTC